AGAAAGAAACTCTCGAACGTGTGCGAAGTTACACGCAATTGTTCGTCAAAGGCGAACAAGGTCGGATTCAAGACACGCAGTTTTTTGCATACGGACATCCAGAATGCATCGACTCCGTTATCAATATCAATCCCAGCGTCGAATGAAATGATGTAGGCATCACATCGCCAAAGTGGCAAGTCAACGGTGGTATATGCGGTACAGCGGTATCTCCACGCCTTGACAGTGGACATGGCTGGCTTCGGACTGACCACACCGGATAGGCTTCGTTGGCAGGCGAGAAAATGCGACGAACCAAAGAAAGAAAATTAGTGCAGATTGGCAAGATAGAACAAAATTAAGCTTGCGCGAATCAGGATCTTTGTAAACATACCCTTAGCTGGGGGCATGTCCAGGTCTCCAAAATATCCATGCGACGTGACTTGGGTGCAGATATTAACCATAAACATCTGGCATCCATAGAGTTTTCCGTATCTTTCGAGCGTGCCGAAGATTTCTTTTCTTGCTGCAACAAGTGGCGTTGATTTTATCTGTCAATAAGGCAGCGTTCTCCAAGACCACTCTAATTGTGAATTACCAGAGTCAGTTGACGTTCAGGAAGATAGTAAAATTTCGCGCGGTCAGATGCTGAGGACATAATCTGAAGGTCGTTGTGTGGTGGTATATCAGCCGACCCTCGGAGAGCGCTGTCTACTGATCATACCATCTTTTCGACAATGCACTAGAGTGATTATCGCCACGCAACTATCCGGGGATGAAACTCATCCGGTGATATCGAACATGTAATCGAAACACATCAAATACATCCCCCACAGACTATCCAGGTCATTACGTGGTGATACCGAGGCGGACCATTCATACGAGAATGCAGTCTACTGATCGGATCATTTTCTCAACGAGGTGTTAATCACCAACATCGCCACGCAACCATTCGGAGACGGAAACCTAAGTTTGTCTGGGATATGCCGGCTGTTTCCAGTCCGGAACACTGGTAGTCTGTGGACGCACTACGTAAAGTGGATAAATAATGGAGAACTTATCTTCTTAGGACCCGAAGTCCGAGAAAACAGGGAGGCTTAATATTAAAGCGGAATAGTTTCACTGAACATTTTTACGATTTATTATTTTTTCTTAATTTTTTACGTTACACTTGATTCTGCGATGTTATTGGATTAAATCGCGTCTCGAAAAACATCATTTCGAACATTCTCTTACGATGCTAGCTTGGGTGCGCAATCATCTCGACGACCTCAAACCGGAGGACTTTTATAAAGAGTTCGACTACTCATACAATGTAAGAAAACAGGCTGAAGAGAAATTGCAAGAGTTGCTCAGTACGATCAAGGAAGATAACAATTCGAAAAATAGCCGGAAAGCGAAACGCCTCCTGAACACTTTTGAGGTAAACGAGAATTTCACTATTACTGTTAGCGATCAACATTTTTAATTTGTTTTATGGCTCTTACATAGTCCTGGACGACGTCGGTAAGCTGTGAAAATTACTGGCTGAAGTTAGAAGCTTCACTTACTAAGGTGCGTGAGCCTGTTTCGTTATTGCCAAAGAATAGTCTGAACTCGCTTATTGAATATGTGACCTTCCCAGGCTGCACATCAAGTTGCGGGCCGAAGGGCTGCGTACAATACAATCAATACTTATACAAAGATTGTACACGAAGATGATGAGGCTTTCTTGAGTGTAAGTTTGTTACACTTTGCAGTAGCTGGTAATAGACACTGAATTGATTTTCTTTTCCTTATTAGAGCGTCCGAGAGCATGGACAAGCCGTATCCGAACCAGTCGGGTACGTAGTTTATATTTGGTGTTTAATGGTATCGAATTCGTCTAAAACAAATTTTCCCTAAGCCTATCAGATACTAACGAAGAAATGCCACCGAGGTCCCATATTGACGAGGACAGCAGGAACAACCCTTTTCTTAATTCAGCAATTTCCTCTAAGCGTTTAAAGTCATCGGAAACGGAAACGACTTTTGATAGTGATACCTCATGGCAATCTGAAAACGAGAATGCAGAATACGCAAGTTCAGATGGGAGTCCAGACAAAAAACAGTTCAAAGCAAAATTGTACTGGTTTGTAGGTCCGGGAGAAATAGAAACAATTTTACCAGAAGACGCCTGTCAGGTATTTTTAATTTCCACGTCATTTGTTGCTGCTTGAGTTATCTGAATGTTTATAATTATTTATTGACCAGTGGTTTGTGAATGAAGTGAACGTGTCAGCATTATTTTTTGAATATCGTAAATTGTCTATTAAGAAGGCATCAACGGACTCAATGGAGACGCCAAGTGAGATGCTGTAAGCGATACTGCTTGTTGTTTGGATAATTTAACTGCTTGTCAGACATTGATGTATATTTGGTATTATAGGGCGATAAACAATATATTTTTACTTGAAGACTCAGGTGATCACAATATTGACCAACAATTACGGGATGATATTTTTGATCAAATGCGTCAGGAATACCTCTTGGAGGAGTTGTCGAATGACTCTTTGTTGAAATGTAATGAGATGGCAAAAGTAAGATTCGTTTCTGTATTCAGCTTGTCACTGAGAGTGCTGATACTTTGTCACTCAGTTGTACATTATAACCAGGTGGCAAGAACTAACTTCAAGGAATGCAAAGCAATATTAAGGCGATGGCGACGAGCATCAGATGAGGATGAGACAATCTTGGATGTTTTTCATAACATGTAATTTTAACGTAGTACCTTTTGATTGCTCTCCATGATATCCTATCTCGTACTAATACCACTTATAGCCTTGGTCATTACACAACATCATTTTCTGTTGAAAACTTTAATGAGGACACTTTCGTCCATGAAGTTTTGCAACCTATCATATCTCCTTTCTTTCAGAATACTGATGTTGTTACTTGTGAATGGTACAGTATGTATTTACTCATTTCTGCCACATTAGAAGTGAAGCTGACTACAATATTTATTTATAGGGCAAACGGTACATTCGGTGCATCATCAGAACGAAAACGAAAATTTGATCCATTCCTTCAGGGGAGGAAAGCGGATTTTTCGGTGTATGTCTCCAATGGATATCATAGACAACCTCTGCTTGTATCAGAAGTAAAACCACCAAGAAACTCAAGGAGCAGCCGACGAGATGATCTATTAAAACTAGGGAATGAAATGAAAGATGCCATAGATAAGATCATTCATAATGGCGTTGAGGAAGATGTTGCGATTTGTGGACTCTTAGTAGAAGGTAATAACATCTTGAACAATTATGGATGCTTCAATGATTTTGACTTAGGTATGCTGATTTCTGCAAACATAGGTTGCCGATGTACTCTTTTTGTAATGGATTTGCGTTATCATGCTGTCTACCGAATGTTTCAACTGGGTATTTTCTACCTGCCTCGAGATCGGCACAACTTTCGCGTTTTAACTGATGCCTTTGAGGTTCTTCATCAGGCACAAGTTAGTATACACTATCCACAATGTCTAATTCAATACCTGAAATATTCACAATTAAGCAATTTTTATTATTGATAGGCTATTATCAAACAATCAGCTCAACGATGTCTTGCATGTTTCCGTACATTGCCTGCCACTCCCAAGACAACATCTCGCCATGCGATGATGAGGTCTTCTTTTCATACTCCAATGAAGGTTCCACTTTTGAGTGTAAGTTTTATGTTTCAAGGGAAATTTCCCTAATTGTACGTTTGAGAAACTAATGTGTCTACAATACATTTCTGGTTATCCTGGTATCCATATGAAGTGGAAAACTCTGTTCTGAGACAATTTGATATCAGTGAAATTTACCGGGATAAACTTCAACAAAATGGTTGACACTGTCAATCATTATGGAGTGACATGGAAGGTCTATTCAAGACAAGAAATAAGTTGTGGGGCTGTTACTGTTTTGCAATTGATTTAAAAGCTGTGTATATCAATAATCAATGTGGTTGTTAGTAATTATGACAATAAAAAGTTAAATCATAATAATAAGTTATGGTGATGTCAAATGTTCACTTTGTCTGGTTTTGTTGCAGCATACCCCATATAAAAAGGCGCCTTTGCTGTTAAATAGTATAAACTTGTTGGTTTAATATTGCTTTGGAATAAAGGAAGCGAAGTAGAAAAGGTAAGCAAGGCAGGTACGAATATTAATCCATTATTGAAGAAAAAATGATTCACAAGTAAATATTTCTTGTTTGATGGCTTGGATTATTTCCGCGTCTAGCTCCGGTCACGCGATTTTCTGCCCCAGCGCAAATACGTGTATTAAGATAGTGAGAATTTCGATTTACTATGCCGACATATATGGGGCACACTGCAACAAAACCAGACAAAGTGAACATTTTATTACATGACATAATGAGAGCTGATTATGATGTGCTGTAAAGTTGACCAGGGTGACTGATGTCGTTTTGAAAAGTAATAATGGTGTTTATGGACGTGTTAATTTTAATGCTCACTTTATCATAACCATACCAGAATGTGATGATTATAAACCATAATAATAACAAGATTAATATTAATATAGGATTATCTCTATATAAAAAATATTGATATAAAACTAATTTACATTAAATCCACTATGGAACCCAAGAATTACAGCACTATTAGAAGTATTTAAAGAAAGGAAATTGCTCCCATACGTTTTTAAAATAAACAATACCCAAACTCTCCAGGAATATCTAGCAAGAAAAAATCACTTATGAAATTTATCAAGAGGAACGGAAAATCATTCACCGAGTAACTTATGGATCTCAAGCACCATTTTGTTAAATGAAAATTTTGAATCCGATTTAATTCTTTTTTCGTACAATAGGCTTAAATCGTTCTCGATTTTTGGTGGATAGTCACGTTAGCCAATTTGTTTGCTAGTTCTTCGGGTTCATTAAATTGATTACTTTATCAATTTTCTGATTTATAATACGCTGCTGATCTTTGTTATAATAAAGGGAATATCCAAGAATAAATTCGCTTGTGAGAGCAAACATTTTAAAATGATGAAGTGTGTTGGACAGATTTTGTAAAAGCAGTTTGCGAAGCTTTTTCAAAAGTTTTTCGATCGAACTAACGTCATTCAATATTCCCGCGCATCACTTGTCGTTGGTCACATTCTGCATACAATGGGAACAATAACAGCAGTTGTGATTTCAACATGTCCTTTCCATCTGGTCGAAGAGGAGCTCTAAGAACGTCATTATTTTTCTGGAGACTAAGAAGGATGGGTTGTTTCTCAGAGACCAAGATATTAAAGTATTTGAAGATAACTGGGTCGCTGGTCGCGCGTTCCTCAACCTGACTGCGGAAAAGCTTGCTGACTTAATCAGAGACATTAAAGGGAGTAAATACTATGATCGCGTTCACTTATAACCAACCTATACTAGTATTGAGAAAACGTTACAGCATATAGAGTAGTTGTACATAGGGTAGAGTAGACGTAGTAATATGGACATAGAGTACATAGTGATTGTTTGGACGTCGCTTACACTATTGCCAACCGAAACGAGTTATAAATCAATCTATCGTGATTTTATTGCAGGTCTCGAAAACGATAGCATGTTGAAATTGACGCGTTCCGCAAGTTATGATGCCAATTAACACCTTACGTTCAAATTATGAGTCCAAGAACGGATTTATGTGATACCTGTCAACATTTTCGGAATGGTGCGCAAAACGTTCACGTACCCCATTCTGATCAACAGGTGAGTAAAATTATTATCTCAGTCCGCGCAAAGTGCATTTATTTGGTATTCATGACGAAGCAGTACGTGAACATGAGGGCGAAATTATAGGGGAAGGACCCAATGGCACACTGAGCATGGTATTCGCTGGAATTAAGCGATTGAATAAAGGTGAAAAGCATTTAAAAATCACTTGCGATAACGCCGGAGGGCAGAATAAAAATAATCACTATTTGATTTTACCTGTATTTAGTAATTTTTGGTTATTACGAATGTATCGAGTTAAATTTCATGGTGCCAAGACATACTAAATTTAAATGTGATGGTAGTTTGGATTGATTAAAAAACTCGGTTTGGAATTTATGTCCATTCCGAATGGACATGTATGTCGGATTGGAATAGTAAAGACAACCAGGTAACAACATTATAAAATCATTTATTGGCGTTACGATATCAACCCTACTTGCGTATAAACAACTGAGTTTGTTATAAATATATGCCACTTTAACATTGTAAGTTTTTGCATAAGAAATAACTAATCTATATAAGCGCGAGCCACTTGTTATATATCACTTGTATTACGTCTTTATATTATGTCGTTCATATACACTTGAATCTTATTTCATGGACAATAATTACCGCACTATCGATTATGACAGTTGTATATGCATCATAACGTTTCGTTAACCCATGTTCATCCTCTTCTTTTATTAGACAATACTTTTGTTCGCTTGCTTTGTATGTAAATCCGATGGTAACCCAAACATCCGTGGTAAGAATATCTGGAAACGATACATAACAATAAGTCAATAATTATTTAAACTATTCAATAAACATGACGCATAAGTAAATAGTTTACCTCGGCATAATATAAATC